CCCCCCCCCCCCCCCCCCCCCCCGAACGCGTTCTGATTCTTGATTTCTCCAGCTGCAGGAATGGAACTAATCCTATCTACGTTGCAAAGCTGCTTTGCTAATTAGACGGAAGAATGTAGCACCGCATAAGATATACAGTGAATGCTTCACAACTATTTGCTGAATTAGCGGCTGGCTAGCGTTACATTACCCAGGGAACGGCTTGGATGGGAAAAGGGGCTTGAGGAAGGGCGGTGGCGGAAGCAGGGCCTGGAAGCCGCTGACTGAGTTGGAGCCAGACTGGCTATGGCCAGAATCTGGGGGCTGTCGGGCCGGGGAGCCTGCGCTTAGCCGGGATGGGGGGACCCAATTTCATGGCCCAGGCCCAGGGGCGTCCACCGGACTGGAGCCCCAGCTCAGACAGTGCGCCTCCTCGCCTCGGAGGACTCCTGCCTGGCGCCATACCCTGGGGGAAGCGGAATGGCAGACAGACGGTCCCCCGCGCAGAGGGGAGGCGTACAAGGTTCATTCCGGTCCTGGGGCAGACGGGGCTCGTCGTCCAGCCTCTAAGGCGCGGGCGGGCCCTTCCCCCGGATCGCCAGCCCGGCCGCCGCCCGCCGGCAGCTTCCCGCGAGGCCGGGCGTCCCCGGGGCAGGCGGCGGGGCGGACGCGGCGACGGGCACCCGGGGGAGCCCGGGCGCGGCGGTGGCGGTGGCGGTGGCGGCGGCCACAGGGCCAAAGGCGGCGGAGGCGCGCGCGGAAGTGGCGCGAGGCGAGCGCGTAGACGAGCGGGTTGAGGCAGGAGTTGGCGTAGGCGAGGCAGTGCGAGGCCAGGCGGCAGGCGTAGGTGGCCGGGCTGAAGGCGAAGCGGCCGAACCAGAAGCAGAGGATGAGCGCGTGGTGCGGGCCCCAGCAGAGGGCGTAGAGCGCGGCCACCGCCAGCATGGCGCGTCCCGCGCGGCCCGTGGCTCTGCGCCGGGCCTCGGCCATCGCGGCGCCCGCGGGGCCCACGGCCGCCCACAGGAAGCGCAGCGTGCGCGCGTAGGCCAGGCTCACCACCGCCACGGGCAGCAGGTAGCCGGCGGCGAAGGTGGCCACGTCGAGGGCGCGCCGGCGCGCGTCCTCCCAGGTGGGCACGCAGAGCTCGAGCGCGCCGTAGCGCACCGTGCCGTAGTAGCTGAAGTAGGGCGCCGAGAAGAGCGCCGCCAGCAGCCACACGAGGCCCACGGCGGCGCGGGCGTGGCGCGGCGTGCGCAGGGCCCGCGAGCGCAGCGGGTGCCGCACGGCCAGGTACCTGCGGGCGGGCGCCGGGTCAGCGCGGCGGACGGCAGGGCCCCGCGCTCCCCACCCCCCGCACCCCGCGGGGACGCTATCTGCGGACCCGCGACCTGCCTCGCCCCGTGGCGGGCTAGGGTGGAGGTCAGTAACACGCCCAGCGCTTGGAGCAGCGCCTGGCACCTCCTAGCAAGGCCGGGATAGAGGCTCGGAGGGAAGAGACTTGCCCAAGGTCACCAAGCCTGGATTGGACCCCAAGTTTGGAACGGCGAAAACAGGTATGACCACAGCCTAGGCTGGGTGTGGGCGGTAATAAAGTAACCGATGGATTCATTCATGTGTTCTTTTTGCCATTCATGTCACATTTACGGAGCACCTACTACGTGCCAGCCTCTGCTGGCATGTAAGACACAGAGATATCTTCTGGAAGCTCACGGTGGAGTTGGGAGGTGGGGGGCAGGATGGTCCGCCGGAGCAGGCTCTGCAGGTGCGCAGAGACTGGTAGGGGCCGGAGAGCTGTTCCTTCTCTCCCTGCCATCCTCTCCCTTCTTGGTCCCCCAAGCTCTCCTTCCTAAGGAATCTGTTTAGGTCTTCCCTCCCCAGCCCAGACCCAGCCAGGTCCCAGGCCCAGCGCACCTGTCCACAGAGACGGCGGCTAGCGTGAAGCTGCTGGCGTACATGGTGAGGTAGATGAGCAGGTGCACAGCCTTGCAGACGAGGGCCCCGAAGAGCCAGGCGTCCAGCGTGTAGATGGCGGCCTGGAAGGGCACGCAGCACAGGATGAAGCAGAGGTCGGCCACTGCTAGGTTGAGGATGAACAGGTCCGTAGTGCTGCCCGGCTCCTGCCAGGCACTGGGGCTGGGCTGCAACAGCACAGCCAGCACCAGCCCATTGCCCACAGCGCCCAGCAGGAAGATGAGGGCGAACACCACGGGTACCACCACGGCCCCCACGCTCCCTGGGCTGTCTAGCGAAATGTTCTGCGCATCAGCCATCTTCCCATCCGATGGGCACCTGAGGGAAAGAAGCTGGAGTCCTCAGACAGGAGCTCCCGGCTCTGGTCACACGACCGCGGGGTCTCCATCCAGGCCCCCCGGCCTCGGCCTGGCCATGTCTCCTGGGCGCGGGGAGCTCCTGGGGGCATGGTGGTGGGAGGAGGGCGACAGCCACAGATTCTCCCTGAGATCCATTCGTGCAAGCCGGGCACAAATGCCTACGTGTCTGAGGTGGGTTTCTCAGTTTCCCAGGGAACACCCCCCTGAGAAAGGATTAGGCGATGGATACCTCCCAGCAGAATGGGCTGAGGACCCGGGAGGTGGGGGAGGGGCGAGCCCAAGCCAAGCTGCTGATAGACGGACCTCTCTTCTCCTCGGGGGCTGGAAGCTCAGGGGGAGAATCGGACTTAGGTCAAAGTCAGCAAAACACGGGTGATATCCCTGAGTCATCGTAAAGTCCAGTTTAGTGAAAGCCCCACAGTGGCACAGCTGGGAAAACCATAGAGGCCACTGACCCCCTTTTCGCACAAGAGGAAACTGAGGCTCAGAGAGGGGACACGGGAAGCTAATATCACACTTTGAGTGGCAGACCTGGGGCTGTTGCCGCCTGGTACCCTGACTCCCAGGCTGGAGCGCTCAGCTGACAGCCTGTAACAGGTGGGGCCTCCGACCCCCATGCGAGTAAGTGTGCGCGCGTGTGTGTGCGTGCGTGCGCATTTATGCCCGCCGTGCCCACTCTCACCCTTGCTCCATCCCTCGGCCCTATCAGCTACTACCTGTGGATCCCCCTGCTCGCCTGGGACCTCTGGGTTGATGGGACACATTAAGAGAATGAGGGGAAGCAGGGTGGAGGGAAGAAAGGTGGTATCTGCGCTCCCCCCAACCCCCAGCATGCAGCAAGCCCCCAGAGGCTCAGGATGGGTAACACCCACCTCAATTCTGGGCACAGGGCCCTGCTTGGTCCTGGGTGAACCGGCCAGACTGAGGCTGCCTCTTGGCTCAGCGGCTACCCCTTGGCACCTCCCTGTAGGTGCAGGTCTGCCTCCCGCTGTTCCCTCTTCTCCTGTAAGGCACCTCCTCCGCTGAGCCAGACTTGGGCGCTCCCTCAGGAGTAGCCACCGGCCACCTCCTCCTTGGTCCCTGATTTCCCCCCGGGTGGCATGCTCTTCTGCCTGGTTCTTTTCTGCCTCCCTGCGTTGCTTCTGCCTCTTTCTGCAGTAAGTAACCCATTGATCTCGCTCTCTGAGATTCGCTTTGGAGTTAACCCCTCCGTGCCCGGGGCCCAGCCCATTCCTGGCACTCCCACCTCCAGCCTAATGATTCACTCCCCATCTTCCCTCTCTCTGCCCCAAGGAGGGCTCTAATCCAAGCTCAGAAAGGGTTTCTCATCTTGAATGGGGTGTCCCAGGCTAGGAAACCAGAATAGGAGTCTCTTTTCTGGAGAAAAGAGACTCCCCCAGTTCCTGAGAATCCTGGGGCCCGTCACCTTTCCTAAGCTTGTTCCAGAGGCTCAGTGTGTCTGAGGAGATGGAGGGTGTTTGGGTCCATCCAGAGTCTGGCTTTAGCCTGAGGGTAATGGGAAACTAGTGGAAGTTTTAGAGCAGGGACATGATCTGCTCATTTAACTTGTAATTGGTTTATTTTGGCCTGGCGTGAAAAGGATGGACAGAGGGGGAGTGATTTAATGACTGATCCATTATGATCCTCTTGTGCTGGCAGAAGCCAAAGAGATTAGTCTGTCTTGGTTCATGGCTGTGTGATTCAATCAGGCATGGGGTTCTGGCCTGGAACTCTTGGAGAAGTGAGCCACATGGCCAAATGCCTCCAGAGGGTTAGAGAGACTAGTCAGGGATGGGAAGAGGGGGAGAGGTACCCTGGATTTCATAACAGTGAGGTTGTTTGTAAACTGGACAAGTGTACTGGGGGCAAAAGAGTCTGCAATGAGTTTAAGGAGAGAAGAGGTGGTAGGGACTGCTTGTGGTCTTTCTAGAAGCTGGGAGGTAGGCGGGAATGTTAATAGGAAGTCCGTGAAAGGGAAGAGAAAATAGTTTGAGGGGACACTGGGACACTGATAGAGCCAGGACTTGCATTCAAGGCCCAAGGAACTGGGGAAGAAACTCTAGGACTAGCATCTCCCAGACCCCTGGGATTTTCCTGTGTGCTCAGAGGTTTTTTTCGTTTTTTGTTTGGTTTTTTAAAAAAAGATTGTATTTATTCACTAGACAGGGACACAGTGAGAGAGGGAACATAAGCAGGGGGAGTGGGAGAGGGAGAAAGAGGGAAGGAGTGAGGGCAGGAGGACCGAGGCAGCCAGAGGGCTGGCGAGTAGCAGGCAGGAAAAACCGCATTGTCAAGGCCAAGGCCGGAGCCCAGCACGTCCCTGGCGCCCCCTCCTTCTCTTGCTCCAGGAGGCCGCAGCCTTGAACCCAGAGCCAGATGCAGAAGACGTGGACCGTGAGCCGTGGGAGCGGTCTCTGGAGGTGGAGGTGCGGCTGACCCACGGCCGTCGGGCCACTACCAGCACGCGTCCAGCCCGCAGCATGTGCGCCCAGAGCGTCCGCGGCGCCCGCGGGTGCTTCCCACCAGCCCTTCTGTACCTCCGCGGATGGGAGCCGGCACAGCCGCGAGCTGACACAACGCAGCTGCCCACGCCAGCCGCCGGGGGGCGCCCGGGAGCCGCAGGACGAGCCGGCGCGTGCTCTGAGCCACTGCCGGGTGGACCTGGGCGCCGCTTTCTGTCCCTGCCGGACACGCCACACCTACTGCTGGAATGCGTTGCCCGGTGGCTGCTTGGGGCCATCCCGTGTAACCCGCCGGCCTACGCAGATCACGCACATCAAGCTGCTGGCTGGGCCCGAGGCTAGCGCCAGGCCATAGGCACTCGCTGCTGCAACGGTGCGCCTGCGCCAGGTACACGACCGCCTGGCTGCGGCTCTCTCGAGTATTCCAGCTGCTGCTGTCGCCACAGCAGCCCTCTTCCCTGGTCGGCCATCTCCCAGCACGTGGAGGTCCTGGACCCCAGCCTCAAGCTCCTTCCGACCACAAGCTAAGATTCCTAGAATCCCAGTTAGGATCGCAGCAGCTGGCCCAGACCATCCATCCCGACAGCCAGGCTAAGGGCAGGGCTGGGGGTTCGAGGACACGGAGAGGGGGTCCTAGTTCCCTGTTGTGGACGAAGGGCGTTTTCATCCTCCCTGCCCTACGTCCAGCGAGGTCCGAGCTTCCCAAGGCCACACCCCAATGAGGCTGGAGCCGAGTGAGTCAGAACCTATCCTGCCTGGGCCACCCCCCCACCCCGCCCCCGTGCCCATAAAGCTGAGTGGGGACGGCAATGAAAAGACAAGGACCAGGGACAGCGACTACAGGAAGGTGTCCACTAGGGGAGCAGCGAGCCCCTTCTGGGGACAAGTGTGGACGGGGCCTTGGCAGCAGCAAATCAACTCTACGGAGAGCCTTGCCCGCCGAGGCCTGGATTCTGGCGGGGCGCGGCAATAGCAGCCGGAGCCTGAGCTCGCTGCGCCCCCTGGCGGCTGATCAGCAGGCCCGTAGGCCTTGGACCGAGAGGGATGGAAGGAGCCCAGTTACTCTGTACCATCTACTCTTGGTAGTGCGGGAAACTGAGGCACACAGAGGGGAAGGGGCCTGCCCAGGGGCCAAAGTGGGCTAGAATACATGGTTCCAAACTGTCGGGGGGCCTTCCCGATAGTGACCCACGTTCTTTCCTTTGGGGCAGGTTTGGGTGCCCAGCCCCTCCTTATCTGGCCAGCTGTAAACCATCCTTTGGATGGCGGGGGGGGGGGGGGGGGGGAAAAAACGGGGGTTCCCCGGGGGTGGGGAGCAAATGGCGGGGGGGGGGTGGGAAAGGGCCTGCAGGGTTGGTAGCTGTCCTCTCCAGCAGCACAGAATCCGATTGGGGCGGGGGGGGGCTACCCACATTATCCCCACGGCCTGCGTCTCATCTTAACCTAGGGTAGGTGGTCAGCTCTGAAACCTACTCAGGAGCCTCAGCTCCCACCTGATTCTTCAACTGGTCACAGGGCGGGCCTGCCCAGAGAGAATGAAGCACACTGATATGTCAGCCCGTTTCCACATTGTTGCTGGACACTCTCAACCACAAGAACGGGCCTTGCCCCAGCCCAGCCTCAGGACTTTGACAGGGCTCAGAGCCTCTGGCCCAGGCCGACCGAAGGGCCCTTTTGTCAATGTGGAGGGAGGGGGATCTTGGCTCTGCTCGTCACCAGCCACGTCAGGGTAGGGCCCCATGCAGCCGCCCCACCTCCACGAAGGCCTCCACACAGCGGTCGATGTCCTCCTCGCTGTGCACCGCCGAGATCTGTACCCGGATCCGGGCCTTGCCCTTGGGGACCACTGGATAGCTGAACCCGATGACGAAGATGCCTGGTAAGGTAGAAAGGGTCAACCTGGGGCTCAGCAAAGCCACACACGCTTTGGGAGACATGACACATTGTTCCTACTCCCCTGAGGGTCACAGAGGGCAAGGGAGTTGCCTAAGGTTTCCCAGACATGCAGATAAGTCATGGCCTGGGATCTTCAGCTCGTCTCGAGAGGGTCGTAGGGGGAGGGTATGGGGGAGCATTCATAATACAGGGGCTCCCTCCTCTTTTCTCTGAAGACCCGTAACCGGTCTCCTTGTCCCGGCTTCCTCACCTCTCTTGAGCATGTCATCCGCCATGCAAGAGGCCAGCCGAGCATCACCCAGCATCACTGGGCAGATGGGATGATTGGCTCCCAGGATGGTAAAGCCAGCAGCCTCCATCTTACTGCGGAAACTGTGGGCACAAGCTGGGTGTCACAGGTAGCCAGGGGACTGTGGAGGGTTCACACCCACTCCTGACGGGCCCGTGATCTGTGCCCAAGTCTGCAGGATGGACCAACAGAGCCAGATGCAGATGGGGAGCCAGGCAGAGGAACCAGCAGACCAAACCAGAGAGTGAAAAGACAGGATAATATAAGATGGGGAGACACAGGGTCATTGACGG